ACATCTTTGGTGATATTCTGAAGAGCAAGAAGATCCGTGGCTGGCGCACATTTTTGGTGGTTCCAGAACTGGTACAGGAGCTTCACGTATGGACAGAGAAATGTTCTCTGTTTACTAAACTCCAAAGCTTAGATGTTATGCTTGGAGACCTTTATAAGTAAGTTCAAAACTTGATCTCTGTCAAACTGTGAGTGGTATTTGATGATAATGACAAAGGAAATTATTTAAAAAAATATATATAAAAAAACTGAAATACATTTGCTGTGTACAGGAACCTGGACTCGAGTACCTATGAACGACCTGACATCAGCAAGCTTAGAGGGGCAATCAAAGAAGTGACACATGAAATGGATCTTAGCTATGGCATGCTTGGCTCAGTCTTCCGGTCAGGCTCACGACAGACACATTTCTCAACACAGGTAACTTTTGCTTTGTTTGTGTTACAGGTTTATGTATTTTTTCTCTCTCTGTAGTAACTGATATATATTTCTTCATTGTATCATAACAAATTTTTTATTTGTTACAAAGAATGAGCTATATATTAGATGCAGTAGATAGAGGCTAATGTTATATCATTTCCAGGTTGCCAGATATGCTGACCTATATGCTTCAACACTACTTAATTTGATCTACTACCCATTCAGCTACATGTTCCGTGCCCCTGCAATGTTGGTGAGTTGGTGCTTCTTCATGATTTATCTCCAGGAAGACCATGTTATGATAATTAGGGTATATGCTTTGGTGCATGTATACACACTTAAAGTATAAATTTTATTGGCCCCTTTGATGTAAAAAAAAATATATGCTGCATTTTGGGAATCACTGCACTTTATCTGGGTTACATGCAATCATGAATACTAAATACATGTTAATGCAATATTTATTTTGTACTTTTTTTTTTTTACATTTGAGAATATATTTTACCATTATATCAGTTAATAAAATGCATGGTTGGAACATTAATAAAACTAGCAAGTACTTTGCTCTCTTCTTTTCTGTTGTGCTCCCTCTCCTTCTCTCTCTACTTTTTCCAATCTCTCCCTGTAATTTTTTAGTTACTTAAATGTGATGTATAAAGTTCTACATTTTAAGATATGAATTTTTTATTGTAGATGCCCCATGAGTCCACTGTAGCACACGAGCAACGCTTCCAAGTAGGTGATGGTCCAGTATCCACAAGATCACGTGCTTCCAGTGTCCAAGTCGACAACCCAGATAACCTCCAGTCCAAGAGACCAAAGGTGAGGATGCATAAATTTAAGGCAATAAGCATTTGCTACTTATTTTCTTAAACTCAATCTTTTAACACTTTGAATTTTAATTACCAGTGATTTTTAACCTTCTTTATTGTACTCATGCACAGGACTTTCATTGTGAAATGTCATTCAGTAGTTTTGTGTCCATCTGCTGAAACTAGTGTTTATTTTCTAGTGATATATGTCATAGAATAACTAAAGTATATTGTTATAAAACATTTTACAGTATGGAAAGAGAATAGCTTATTGTGATTTATTAATGCTCAGAGTTAATTTGATTCAAATATGGAAATACTTCACTTTTCAGATCTTAGAGAGAGCTCAGTCACTGGTGCCTCATGCACGGGCAGAAACACCGAAACGTGTCACTCATTATCATGATGAAGATGACTCAGAGGAAGAAAGTGACAAATCTTCTTGAATGTCTGTTATACAGTAAATATTTTGTTGGTCTTCGGATTTATTCTGTAGGGGAGTAGTCATGATAAATTTGCTAGTGGATTTTATGTATTTATTTTCAGAATGGGTTAAATAAAAGTGGGAGAAAAGGACTGTAAAACTTGTCCATCAGGATTCATTGAGTTTATTTACAGGAAAGGTTTTGTTCTGTGGATGAGGATAATTTAATGCCAAGGATACGTTCTATATTACATTGCATTTGAATTGAAAATTAAGCCTCAGTTATTATTTATAGTTGGTTGCACAGATATTATGTGAGTTTTTAATCAGAAATATGTATATATTTTCTTCTTTTTATTAGAATGGGCTGTGTATAACATTTGAGAGTTCTCAGAATGAAAACATGAAAATTTTCATTAGAAAATCATAAACACTAAATCATTAAAAGATTCTATTTAGGAAAGGTGCTTATCAAAAAATATTACTTATGCACATAAGCCATTCCTTATGAAAAGTTGACATTTAAAGGAGTTTTATTGTGCATGAACACTTTTTGAATTAATGAAGTGATAAACCATAGTAATCTTAGGTAATATCTATACATGCCTTTTAGTATGTAGTTGAATATAGGATTTCTTGCCTTCACTAACTGATTGCATCCAGAGTTATGATTCTTCAGAACATGAGATTGACCTACAATCCAGACTAGCAATAAGTTTAGTCCTTGTCATATTTTATATTCAAATCAAGTGTGAAAGTGGTAAATAGGAATAGGAATATCTAATGCACCTTTTGGTACTCACAAGAAGGATGCATTTATATGGTGCATATATGACTCGACATGGTCATCTTTCATGCGTAAATGCAACAGATATTCTCATTATATTGTGTTCAAGTCAAGTAGGATAGATCTACTAAGGAAATAGGCTGTGCATGTTTTCAGAATAGGAACAGGAACATCAACATTTTAGCTAATAACATTACCGTAGAGGCTTAGGTATAGAAGAAAATATCCCTTATGGCATATTGGGCAGTTATGAAACAATAGTTGGTGAATCTATTTAAGAATCAGGTAGTTTTAATTAAGATAAAGAAACTTAAATTGTATACTGTACAACATGGAAGTTTTATCTTTAAAAAGTTTTTAAGTTTGTATATACTATAGTTTCAGATGTTTTATAGCACATTTTATCAAGAAACTGTATAGTCTGCTAATGCATTCCAGTATTGTTGTATTAGATAATCTTAGACTTTTTCCTATCTCCTTTTTCTTTCTATTTTTTCTCTATAAATGTGCTGACAGATGTTAATTATTCTTAATTAACATTTCTAAACATGTTTCTATAAATTTGGCATTTCTTAAAAAGCTAATATGCATCACTCTTTAATCAGTTTCTTGAAAATTTGTGAAGCTTAATGACAAAGAAGTTGAATTTTGTATAGTGATGTGTATGTGATTATAAGTTAGATTCATCATTTTACCTATGCTCTTTCATGTACTCTAATGTGGGTGAAATTTGTTACAGTATTTTTGTGACATTTTGATCAATGTTGCATTTTTAATAATTCTCTCTCCCATACTATAATTGACATCTTATATAACACTGCCTTGAAACTTCTGTGATGGAAAGTATGTAGTAGTGAATGGAGAATCATTATATCTAGCTCAACTCAAAACAATCCTTGCACCATTAGCAACTTCTTTTATACTTTGATATGTGGATGTTTAGCATTTAATAGGAGATTACATATGTAAATCAACCTCATGTTATTTAAATGCATACTTACAATAATTGCTTTCACAGTGGATCATTCTTTTATTTGAAGCAAAAATATAGTTTTTAATGGAGTTAGCATTGCAGTCTGTATAAAATCAGCTAGTTTATATATTGAATGGCAGTGTAGTCTGAGTATCACTGCAGTTTATTTGGTGATTTTTAAATGTAGGAAAAATATGGCAGAGAACAAATAATTGCTTCCCTGTGATGCAGAGTTTCAATAATTTTTAGTCTTTATTTTTTTTTTAATTAAGGAGAAAAGTAACATTTGACAGTACATTAAGTGAACATAAGGCAGACAGTGCAGGTTCTTTCACTATGGTTAAGATGATGAAAAGAAACCAAACATGCCCCCTTCCTTTTTATATTGGAATATTTAGAAGAAAAACTGTCCCAAAAATCATAAATCTATGCAAAGTGGATTAAAATATAGATTTGTATAGTTTAATTTAGTGATTTAGTACTTTCAGGCATTCATGTGTTCATGTTTTGCTAACAAGTACACAGTTTATTTTGTATCATAGCAATTTTTTATTTAAATCTGTAATATAGTGGACCAGGAATTAATTTTTTGTCTCATATATGAATGCTGCATGAAATAAAAATACAGTATCAAATATTGTTTTATGTCCCTGTGTCACTGCTATCAGATATTTATGCAACAGTTAACAGGACCATCTGACTTCAAAATGGGTATACAAGAAAATTTGTTGGTCATAAAATATATGCATATTTTACATTACTTTGGCCTGAAATGTCTTCCATAAGGTTTAGAAGGTTCCCCAGAGAGCCATTTGCACTTTTTTCCCACGTGAACTTTTACAAAAAAAATTTGCCTGAGTTTCTCCTATTCACTGTAGGTTACATTATTGTTTTACTATTTTGTGGAGAAAAAAGTGAATAGAGATTATTTATGTTAGAATTTCTAATAAATATGTGTACATTTTTATCAGTTTTTCTTATATAATATTAACTGCAATGGCATATACATTTTGTTTTTAGTGAAGGCTGATAAAGATGAAATGTGGAGTCAGCCCCATTACATTCAGAAAAATAGTGGACAGGACTTTTCTGCTCAATTTCTTTTAATTCCCCTAAACTTTTCTCATAAAATAATATGAATTTTGGTACATTCCACCAAACAGTACAGAGATAAATATTTTATTTACTTCTTTCTTTATGGGCCTTACTCAAGATGTATCTTTTCAGTATTGAAGATGAGACGACTCTTTTCAGGAAAAAAAGGATCATGAATTGTCCATTCCACTGATTTAAATTTTTGCATATTTTTCTCGAAGTACAGATTAATTTTTTTATGGAACTGCATAAATTTGGAGGGGTATGGCAAGACTAGAATTCACATAAAGACCATTCTGAATAGAATGAAAAATCATACCTTCATTAAAATCAAACCGGTAAGATTAAATAGGGTAAAAATTAGAAACTACTCCTAAAAGTCGAACATGAGATTGTCCCCTTTAACAGAGTTGTATACAGTAGTATGTGAGTTAGAGAAAACTACTTTGAAAACTACCAAACGACAGCATTGGGAGAATCACTCAAAAAATACAAACACAAGATTTTATTTACAGAAAAGTTTAATCACAAATGGAGTACATATGAACTTATTTATATATGAACATTGTCAAGTAACAAAACAATGCCTTGATTAGGAATTTTTCTTTATTTTTTCATTTTTTTGATGATTAGCTGGAAACAAAATACCATCATCAAATATGTACTGCACATATATATGTGTTAAAACACCAATCAAAGTGAATTACAACACATAAAGGTAAGCTACAGAGACCTTTGCCTTCTTAATAAAAAATTATCTTTTGTTGGGAGAAAAAGTACTTTGAATGATAATAAAATGTAACTTCTAGAGCAAGTTAAAAAATTTCCATTTAAAACCAAGCCTTTAAGGCTACAATATCTCTACAATAGAGACTTCTATATCTATCTGTTCAGTCACCAAAAAACATTTATTCCTGGAAAATGGAGCATCACCAGGATTAGTAGTAACAACTAAATACTATCTGAAGAAATAGCAAAGTATTTATTATGTGTGCAATATTTTATGGCTAGCAATACACTTACCTATATGAATGCTTACTACATTCCTTATTCCTGCATCAGTTACACAATTCAGGTACCAGTTTCTTCTAACACTTTTCTCATGCGGTAACAACAAAGGTTTCCCCCCTCCTCCTTGTTACATAAAAATATTAAGTCCATTTATAGAAAATAATAAATATATGAATGAAAAAAACAGATTTACATTTAGTTGTAATGGTTAATGGTTAATAGTTGAAACATATAAATGTGCTACACATCATTTAGCAGTAATACTTTTGTATATATATAAAAAAAAAAAAAAAACTGTACTACTTCACTTGGTATATAAAGCATTTTATGAAACTGAAAATGATATAACATATCTGGAAAACAAACTTTTTCCTATTAGTTTCTTCTAACTAAAAAATATTGAAACTTGGTAAACAAAAAAAAAAAAAAACTTTCCAACTGTGTGTTACATGCTAAAATGGAATAACTAAATGAGTGTATTGAATTTCTATTAATAAAGGCCAATGCACTAGAGAATGTACTATATTCCCTTGCTTGTAAGCTACAGATTAGCAAAAACAGCCTGGTCTTCGTTAAAACACCTCCTGAAAATTGCACCACAAAACAAATGTACTAGATCAACAAAAAAATGATCATAGAATGTGTACAATGAAAATTCAGCAGTGCTTGTAATAGTGTTACCTGAATCCACACTATGATTTCATATTTGCACTTAACACAGAACTTCAGATATTACACTTGAATTAATAAGTGTATAGAATTTTGAGAATCAGCAAGGCATCCTTACACATAGATCATCCAGTCACAAATTATAAATAACATGGCAGTTCCTAAACTTAAAATGACCTTATAGTCTGCAATTTGCCAAATAACCTTGTAACATATGGCTCCACATACTGTATCTTATATGCTTAATTTCCTGTCCTTTGTTATTATATCTTGGTCTAATTTTATGTGATTTAAGTTAACACTTTATTTAATTTTTGAGCAATGCAGAGAATCAGAGAAAGTTTACAGATTGACTTAAAGCGATTCATGAAATGCATCATTGATTGCACCAAATATATCAAGTCTGCTATTCAACTAACAATACCTCTCATGGTGATAATTTACTGCAAGGTGACAATTACTTATACTGAAATGGTAGTGATAACAATCAGGAGTAGTAACAAGGGTATGTGGTAGTCCAAGTAAATGGTCAACGTGATTTTGGCTTCAGGGTGTGTCTTAGACATTGGGGGTGAAATATAGAAAAAGCTGAGAAACACAATGTCAAAAACTATGTAAATATGGTGTCCATCATTTAGAGGTTTTCATCTCAACCAGGAGTTTACAAAGTAGCACACATCTTTATATTACTGTATGCTTTTTTCTGTACATTCCTGTTTTCTACGGGTCACAGTGAAATAAAGGTATCTGTTTAAGGATAGGATTTTGACTAGATAAAAAAAAGAGATTAAGTCAATATTTGGCATTTAGCAGTAAATTATCTGTGCAAATGAACTCTATTAACCCTTTGAGAAACTATGAAAATATAATGCTGCATATGAAAATATAATGTTGAAACTTAAAACATTAATATCTATAACCAAATTCTTTGAGCAGTGATGCAAATAATCAAAGTTAAATCAATTCCTCTCCTGACATTTAAGAAACGGAAAGAATACAATTTTCAAAATTGTAAAACAGAAAACAAAAAACAAAAATAATGTGTAAATTTCACATGTACAAAACATAAATATCCTGCTTCGCTATGACACACTAACTTGACATAAACAGTAATCCAACAACTGAAATGTATTTACTGAGCATATTTAGATAGCAAATGTCTCTCTCCATTATCATTAGTAGTATAAATAGAATATATCTGTAGCTTTGATGATATAATGATATCTACATTTTGTCCTAAATTTCTAAAGAATGTCTGAGAAATAAATCCTTACAAGTCTGAATTAAAATATAACCAAATATATTTAAAAGTTTCCTTCTCTTTCCTTATGTTTACTAAATCTTTGATAAAAGAATATTGTGAATTATTCCTGCACAAATACTATCCATAACACAATATTCTTCCCACCTGATACAAATCACACTGCACAATGTAATTAAAGCTTTTCCTTCAGAGTTAGTAAATAATACAAAAATAATTTGAATACATCTGTAAGAAAACCCTAATGCCAATAAATTTACTCTTTACATCATGATAGTGTATCAGGAACATTAAAAACTAAAAATTATATCAAGCATTTCTTGAAGAACAAACACTTTACCTAACAGTCACAGTGTAAATGGCACATGTGAACTGCATCCAAATTACATGAGTAAGAGACAGTTTCACAAATAAACATGTAACTTTTTAAATATTTTGCAGTTAGCTTTAAACTGATGATACATGATGTAGCTGAAAAAAGACACATCTGATTTCAAGAAATCTAAGCATACATCATTGATGTGCATCTATCAAGACTTAAAAGGCTTCACAAAAAGAAGAACCATCCAGCTCTGACATGCTCTGTGTTCAACATGTAGCAAATGAAGCTTCTTCTGCACTATAAGACACAAGTTCTCTATCACATATCTAAAACTCTTCTATAACTGACAACATGCAATAACATGACATCAGTGATCAATAAATCTATTTCTTCACTTTAATGGAATGGTCATACCTAATGACAGATGGCAAGTGAACACTGAAAAAAATCAGTACATGATTAGTTACTGTCTCCCTAATAAGCATTAGTGTCTGCTAGCCAAGAAAGATAAACTTTCCCCTTAGCAAAATTGGCATGGGTACAAGAATTCGATGTCATGATTATACAGCAAATCAACATTTCTTCTCTTCTTCTATAATGAAGATGAGATAATCACCACAACTATTTTGATTCCAGAATTGGATTACACTGATTCAGATGCACAGACAGCTCAAAATAACAGAGCTTAATGTACATCAACGAGAGGTACCGGTCCTGTACCTGGCAATATATGGCTGGATCTAGTTTCACATTTGTGCAGTTCTTAGTAGGTCAAAAGAGACAAGCATCAGGGACATAAAAAGCCTTAGGCCTAAAGTCTCTGGACATGTAAATTTGAGCATACTTTCACCTTCAAAACATGCCAGCTCAAGTAATTAGCTTCTTGTATTTTTGTGAAAATATCTTGTCAAAAATCATATGAAAAATTCACTCTTCCATAAATCCTGACATCTATATTCAAAGAGTTTTTACTTTCAGATTCATACCATATCAATTTATGAAAACTTACCTAAAAAAGTTGTAGTATTGTAGGGGATTGGTGCAATTAATTCTTGAATCTTGTGATACCTTGAGAATCTACACTCAATGTTGCACACAGAAATATAAAAAATGTTTTCTTATTTACCAACATTTTATAAATTACTTAAGCACATCTCATTTCATGCTAAAAATGATTTCTAAATATTCTGTTCTAAAATCAAATACTTCCCTTTACTATATATTTCTGTATGGCAAAGAAATCACTGATATAAACATAGGCTACCAAACCACAAAAGTATAAAACGTTTTCCAACTCGGAATCAGAATCACATTTGAAATAATGAAATCAAGCAAAAACACTCCAAATACTGGACTGTCCAATCAAGCAACTGATAACAAACGGAAAAAAAATAATGAAAAAATTGTAAACATTTCACTCTTACAGTTATTCAAACATTTTCACAGAAAATGTTAATAAAAAAAAAGTACAATATTTTCATATCTAAAACAGGGCAGTTTACAACTTCTTATCTATCTAAAGGAACCACGTTACAGCAAAATTGTCAAGAAAAGATATGTAACTAACTTGACCGGTACCTATCACTCTGAATCTGGAAACTACTGGTATGAGCATATTCCAGCAGATGCTACGAGTCTAAATCATTATCCAAAATCTACATTACACTTTCATGTTAATTATACTGTTTTTACTACTTTGTCTGTGCTACATCTAGCATGATATTTTATGCATCACTCAAGATAATTTGTATTTCTTAGACAAAAAGTATTTGCAAATGACATTTTCTACAGCAGAAAAAACAGCATTTGAATATGGTATGAAGCTAAAAGGGAAACTCAAAAGCTTTCTGTATTACTTGAGAACAATATTAAGTCAGGGAAAAGATTCAAAACTAATCCTCCATTCATCTAAAATACAGGGTGGACCAGTTTTGTGAACAGCATTCAAATAGCTGTTCACTTCCAATTCAAACTATATAATCATCAGCAACAACATTTGTGCAACTCTGCCAAAATGTCATCTCCAAACAAAGTATATTATGACTACTCAGTTCCATACAGATCCACACTATAATGCATAGTATCTGCATCACTCAGGAGTCTGCTATGCTATCACAGTCTGTTTGTGAATTCTCCATACCATTAACCATCACCTTTGGCTTGGCCACAAAACGTCGGCGGGCCTGTGACAGTAATTCGGTTTTGCGCTGAGCCAGCATCTGCTCTCGCTCTTGGGGTGATTTGCTAAACCGTCCACCGGCTCCAGAGATTCCAACACCTATGCCACTTCTGTCAGCAAAAATTAATCTATTAGGAGGTGAAAAATATGACAATTCTACATAAGCATATGGAAAGATTCCAAATCAAAATGCTGACAATGGCAGACCTGAAATAGAAGCCTAGGTACATCATACTGTTTTCATTCAGTATCAAACCTTACCCTTCAGATTCTGTGTCACTTGGATCCTCTGTGGTGGCTGCATCTAACTCAAAGGGCACTGGCAGGCTCAGGGGCCGTGAGGGAGTAGGAGATGCATCTACGAAATCTTCCTCCTCCTCCTTTGTCTCTTCCTGCTCACTCAATAGCTGGTGGCTCTTTTCATCCTCTTTCTGTACTTCAAACACTGAGCTGAAAGAGTATTCAAAACAATAAACTACTTTCACTGGTAAGTTTTTTAGTCATGTTACAAAGCAATTTTAACTGGTAAAGCCATTAATTCACAATTCAGAGTTTGCTCTGAGCCCTCTGACATTCAAAATCAGACCTTGCCTCCTAATCAACCCCCTCTGGAATGCTGGCAGTTCTGGTCATTTTAGATTATTAGATTAACCTTTTGCCTCCAAATGACAGACATGGCTCCGGGAGAAGTATATTTCCCATCAGGAAGGATTTAGTTGTGGCAACGGATGACAGGTCACTCACATCATGTTATAGTGATGCATGCATTATATTTTATGCTGTTCTTTATTAGGTACACTCAGGCATTGCCTGGGGGAGAATGGGATGTGTAATGATCTGTCTGGCTATTGTTCTGTATAAAAGGGGTATTACTTAGCACATACAGATAGTCCCCTACTTAAGAACATTCTACTTATGAACATTCCATACATATAAACAAAATTTTTAAAGTTCTAAAGTCCAAAAAATTGTTAGAAAGACGCTAGCAAACTTCAAATTTTCCGAGCACGAATACAGTTCAAGAGTCTGGTGCTGTATAAGTTATGTTGTACTTATTGGGATTTACTTACAGGTATTCTTAATGTAAACAAAACTTAAAAACAATGGGAATAAAGGTAATGGAGACCCGACTTTCGACATACAAACAATTCAACTTACAAACAGCCTCTCAGTCCCCGTTATGTTCTTAAGTTGGGGACTTACTGTATATAATTTCTCTGCTATCCTTGGAAGGTGGCATACACCTTGATCTAGCAACTAAAATTAATATCATGCATCTCTGAATATGAAAAATATTAAAATCATGTTTTGGATACATGCGATACAAAAAAATATATGTATATATTGCTTTGTTTATACACCAACAAAGTAGGCCCCAGAGGCCAGCCTAGTCAGCTGCACATACTCCCTGAAGCAGAGGTCAAGTGCATCCTTAATTCTTCATGATGCAAAGGGTTAAGATCCCATCACTGACCCAACAGCACTTACATTCTGGCTGTCCTCAATGGGTATAAGTACAAAAAAGGTTAATGATCTTTACATTCATTAATCATTAATAAATGGGAGTTTTAGGCTATTATTGGATGTAGAATTGTAAGTACATAAGTACTTAATATAAGCTAAGTCCTGGTTGCATAGAGGTATAAAAGGGGGAAGGAGAGAGCTCCACTGTGAGCACGCACCCTTGGAGACTGGGTGAAGGAATGAGTACTAATGGTCATGCATCTAACTTGTACCCCAGATCACCAAAGTTCTTGAGGGAGTTCATTAGGAAAAGTCTGGTCTTGATAAGTCTGAGATCTAACACAGTATTAACAATCTCAATGTTTCAGTATAAGTTGATATCTTTTAAGAAGGAGAAGAAAAAAACACTACAAAATCTGTTTTTACTGATCATATAATTGCATAATAATATTCAACAAATTTCTCATACACTACAGATCTGGCAAGGGTAGGTGACAAGGAGCTCAACTCTAGTTCCCTAATTAGTGATCTTAGGTCAGACTAAAAGAGTAATAATCCCTGATCTAAGTTTGATTCCTCAGTCAAGGCTCATGATACCACAACTTTTTTTATAACGTAGTGTACCTGGGACCATCATGTGACGCAAACATCGGTGGAGGGTTGACTAAACGCTGCTCCAGGATGTTGTCAATTGTCACCTCTAAGCTGTGGGTATGCTGAAGATCTTCCAATATATCTGAATATGAAACATCTGGGAACATCTGCTGGACCTGCAAAATTATCATAAAGGTCATCATCCCATTAAATATACTACAAAGTAATATGTGCATAACTATAAAATATCTTTTATCACATGGAATAATTTGTAGATACAATAAAATAATTTAACTGATAGATCTGGGTGCCTCACAGCTCACATATGGACCAAAATCTGGGAATTAGGCTTATTTGAGTGGCAACTCTCCCAGTATGGCTTGTAGGCCCAGCCCACAAAATCATGCACAGTATCATGACTCCTTGTATCCCCTTTGAAACATTATCTCTATCTCTTTTTCCCACCACACTTTCCCTCTGCCAATTTTTTTCATAATGGCATATTCCTGTCACATAACCCAGATTCAGTGGGTCAAGTACTGAATTTCATGTACATTGTCATCTTATGCTATGCTCTTAAAGTACTTTACTTCTGTTAAAAACTGTTTCTACTGTAAATATTCAACTTTTCCTTCACTACAGAATACAAATTTTGAAAGAACAAATAATTCTTTCTAGAACCAACTAGTCATCTCAATCATTACAAACTTCTTTAGAAAAAGGATCCATCGCAGGTCATGATTGCAACCTTTAAAAATAAAAAGTTTGATCTGTAATGTCTTATCTTACCTGTCTAGCAAGATTGTCAAGCTGAGATGTAGACGCAGGCTGAGAGTTGGGCTGATGATGGCGTGGTAATTGTGTGTGGCTCTGCTCTACACTGAAGCTAGGTAGCCAGGACACATACCGCCAGCCTGGAGTACCTGG